CCCCAGATGCCACTCACCAAAGTAGGATGCAGAACATTTTCTTAATAAGCTTTGTTATGCCAATTGACCTAGATGTCCCCTGAAAGCATGGTCCCCAACCCCTATAAACGGGGTGTTTTTGACCCCCGCAGTAGGCCATATGCAATTACTTATCTTTCACTGATCCAGGGCTGCTTCTCACTGGTTCTGGGTGGCTGTGTAGACTCCCTGGTGCTGGGTCTCTCCCGGTGTGGAAATGTGCCTCCCAAGCACTGCTGCTTACCTGCCTCACAGCTCACCCCCGAGCCGCTCAGGCCTGAAGGGCTCAGGGTTTCATGGGGTCAGGTCTGGCAACTCCTCACTGCTCCCGAATTGTCTCTCCCTCCCCTCGCCACTAAGTCTGGTTCCTCAACTCCTCTTTTGATGTTCAGGGCTCCCAGATTGCCATATATAATCAATTCACTTGTTTTGTCAGGTCCTTGTTGTAAGAGGGTCCACTAGAAGCATCTGACTTCTCTGCCATCTTGGCCTCACCTCTCCTTAATTGTTTTAATGACACCTCTGGCCCTGGGAACTCAGCTCCTCAACCACCTGGCAAATTAGGTGAGAGGGACCCCTGCCTACCCCACCTCCTACCCAATCATCACCAACAAGGGCGGATTACCCAATAAGGAAGTTAAGCGTGCTTAGGCCTTCAACAAAACAGGGGCACCATTTGTCTGTAGCAAAGACTCATAGATGCCAAGCAGAGAGGACACAAGGAAAAGCAAGCGCCGCAGTGAAAGGGAACTGTCAAGACGCTAAATGAAACTGATACCAGGTCCAGTGAGTGAGAATGTACCTGCTGAAAATCAAGTTCACACAGGGTCACGAGGGCACCCACGTGAAAGGTCGTTTAAGCTATGAGGTCCCTACCACTTCAACACCTTCGTTGACATCTGTCTCCTATGGTCCTCTCTAGTGTAACTGAAACTCCTTACCTCAGCAGGTCTCTTGGGAGTATACTATTTCTTTCCAATAAGAGGTGGGGTTGGGCTGTTAAGTCTAACTCTTGCTACATTCACCCAATATGCAACTGGATCCAACATGAATGGTTTCTGGGCAAGGACAGATTATATTAAATAGATAACAAGTCTCTGATCCATTTTGAGAGAACAGTCACATACATCCATGTCTGCTGATTCAGCATCTCCAGGCAGGAGGGCCAACAATGCTCTTTGCCATGATACAAACACAAGGGTGTGCTCTTGTGCATGTCCTGGTAAACAACCAACGGGAATTCCAGTCCCAGATGATGCACAAAAGCAAGGGAACTTGAATAAGCTGGCCATTGCAATGAAATCAATCAAGTTACTTTCTAACTGTAGAGCGTTTAGAAGCAGTGCCTGGACACACAGCCTTGAGGACAATAATATTTATAACTTTAACTTTAAAATATGTTTGGCATATACATAGATGTAATCTAGCATACATTTAATATAATACTAACATGGGTAATAATTTAGTATAATACTAACAGCAAGTGTCCAAAAAATACTGGAAATATTAATATTTATTTAACACAAAACTTTTAATTTATGTATCAAGTGAATTTCGTTTTTTATTGTCTGTTGTGAGGGACACAGCCCTTGGTATTACTCTCTATATGCTAATAAACAAGGTATTAAGCACATTAAAAGGAGGCTAAACTCATCTATTTATTGTGCAAAGTATGTTTCTGTTTTGCAACAATGTGTTTCTAAATTCATCTTCCAAGAAAGCAACAAAGGGCGGTTATCAGAACATTACATTTATATTTTATCAGAATATTTATGTATCTCCATCTAAGGAAACTGAACAATTCCTCGAGGAAACAAACTAAATAAATATTTAGATAATAAAAATTACATAAATGTATTTTATTTTCCATTTCCCTTCAGACTGACTTTCTTTTATGAAATTGATTGATATTGTTATGACTCACAAAACAAACTTGCTTGTCAAGAAGTGGTGCTATTATTACTTTCATTATGTATGGATCTCCAACCACGGGAGTTGAACAATTCCACAAAAAAATAAAATGTACATTTTATAAGTTTTGTATACGATAAAACTATATTTTCCTTTTCATTTTGGACCGATCAGGTAGAACCTCACATTCAGTTCTCTCTCGTCGACCACATAAGAACACGCAATGGCTCTGTAATCATGAAACAATCATCACAAATGAAGTATGAGCCGCTTAAAGCAAACTTGGTGAAAGTCCATTTTTTGTTGCGAGAGGTCAACAGAATCTTACGTTGACTGTTGAAACAACTAAGTGCGCTGACTCATTTTCTTTGTTGTAGAATATGTGGAATATTCTTTTTGCAGAAAATGTGATACATAGTAAAAAAATCTTAGTACCCTGCATCCACTAGAAATGCAATAAACCACGTCATCTCATATGCCACTTTTGCCTTCAGTCGCTTAGATTATAGTCACATTTAAAAAGAAGTTACATCATGGATGGCTAAGACACACACACACACACACACACACACACATATACATGTACATATCTAACTCACATATCCCATTCGAGTGGGTGAGTAAGCAGAGGAGGGGGCACCACAGATTATCAGTGTTTAGGGTCTTCATATGCCTTAACCTGGCCCCCTGATTACCAATGCCACCCAGAAGGACTGGGAGAGCCAGGGGCTGGGGCCCAGAGAAACAGGGACTGAGCATGGTGAGCAGGCCAGCGTCCCAGCAAATGTCATACGCAACTGGAGGCGCAGATCTCAGTTCTCCCTCCTCAACTCTTGCCTGCCCCACCTTCTTTCCCTCCTACACACACACACACACAATCTCTCACAACACCCGACACAATGGCCGGGTGGGGCTGAGGAACTAGCTTCCTCTGTGGAGATCTCAATCTGGGCCCTCAGTTCCCGTCCTAGAAACACGGAGGAACAGATACTCAGAGACCTCCACAGGCGGCCCACTGCACTCCTAGCTCCAAGGGGCAGGCAGGACAGGCTGAAATAGAAGCCGCTTCAAAAAAGATAAAGGTAAATTCTTGGGGAGTTAATGCTGAGAGAGTTGCTTGTGAAATAGTGGGCTGGCTCACACCCAGGGCCACCGGTTGGAAATTAAAGAGACAGGCTGTAGTGTGAGCTGGGAGAGAGATGGCCTGAGAGGAACACAACACCATCCCTCAACTGAGATAGGTGCTTCTAGATGGCCATGTCCTCCTGCCACCCCAGACCCTGTGTCATGGCGGCGCCATCCTTACCTCCACCCCATCCACCCCCATCCCCTGCAAGCCAAGCCCTCTGTCCACAGGAACAGAAGCAGTGCCTGGACACACAGCCATGGGGACAGAACAAGCACATCCAGAACAGCTCACTCTCTTCCAAGCCTGAATTTCCGCCTTTCGCCAGACCTCTTTCCTTTGAGACCCGGGATGCTGGGTCCCTCACATCTTCCAGAGCCCGAGTGTGCGCATGTGGAGTGTGGTGTGGTTGTGGGTGAGGGGGGTGGTGTCCGGTTGGGAGCAGGATCCGATTCCTGTTTCCTGCCCCTACTCACTCAGCCCTGGGAGGTGACTGAGAGTGGAGGGGACTCAAGGGTGAGTGCTTGGGGCCGGAGTATCTGGGTCCCTGTGAGAGGCCGGAGTAGGGGGTAGGGAAGGAAGCAAATACTGGTACCTGAGAGGGGGTGGGCTCTCTGAGCAGGCCAGGGCTGGGGAGGCGGTGGCCAGCTGGTGAGGTGCTGTCTGGGCCACCTTGATAAGGGGCTTCCTGACAGAGACACAGAGACACTGAGCTGCAAGACTCATGGACTGCAGCCCCCAGCCCATATTGTTTTTCAAGAACCTCAGCTTGGGCCTGGAGGAGTCAGTCTCTCCTGCTGACTCCTGAAGGGAGTGTGGGTACCCCTGCTCTAACCCCTGACCCTGTAGCCTTCTGGGCCTGCAGCCTCCTTCCCTGAGGGAGAAAGAGAAACCCAGGCCCCAGCGTCCTGGCCTCCCTGGCCCTTGCCTTCAGTTGGATCTCCTGGCCACTCCCCAGGCATCCTGGCAGGACGCAGGCCTCCACTGGGGCCTTTCTCTGTGCCTGGATGGGGGGCCTGCTAGTCTCCTGGGGTCAGAGGCTCCAGGAATCTTCATGGCAGGAAAAGGAGACTAAAAATAATCCGGAAAGGGAGAGTCCGGAGAGAGGAACTGGGAAATGGGGGGTGGAGGGCCAGCTGGAGCAGGGAAACAGTGATGCATCCCTCACTGCCCAGGCACAGGCGTACACACACACACACACTCTCCCATACTTCGTAACAGACTGCACTGCACACACAGTACACACCACTCTCCACACTACATTCCTCCTCAGTAAGCACGTAACAAACACGTTCATTCTCTCACCACATCACACAGCTCCTCAGAACTACACACAGACAGCACACCCCCGCCCCCCACCACACACACTAATCACCGTATATATACGCAGCGGGTCTGCACTTAAACCATACACACTGACGGGTAAGCACGTAGCGGCTATCCTGGCAAGTTGAACCCCCCTCACTGACCCAGCTCTCTTCCACGCCCACCCTCCAACCTGGGTTTCTACTTCGGTGCCCCCACCTCCAGCCTCACTGCTTCCTCTGGCCTGATTGTGGCAACAGAAGCCAAATGGACGCTGAGAAAGGCTGCTCTGGAGGGTCCAGGGTCCTCAGGAGGGGGAATGAGAAAGAGGGGAGGGAGGTGGAGAAGAGGGAAGAAGTGGAAGAGTGAAGGAAGGGAAGGAAGTGCTCCAGCCTTCTCTCCAGACTCCAGGATCCTGGTTCATTCACTGGCAGACAATTTCTTTCCACTTCAATTGCTCAGAGGCTGCAGGTTCACCCACCTGGGGGGCACTGAAGGCCTCTCTCCCTCCCTTCTCCTCAGGGGATGACTCCAGCAGAGTGCCTCACTCTTTTGAAGAGCTCTGAGGAAGATGTCGGCCCAGTCCCTTCCTGCAGCAACACCCCCTACCCAGAAGCCCCCTCGGATCATCCGCCTCCGCCCTCCTTCTCGCCCCCGGGTGTCTGCCCAGGCACCAGGGCTTCCCCACAATGGCTCTTCCCCACAAGAACCTCCCCCAACCTCCAATGATGCACCAACCCCGATGTGCATGCCCATCTTCTGGGAGCCCCCAGCCACGTCCCTCAAGCCCCCTGCCCTTCTGCCCCCCTCAGCTTCTAAAGCCAGCCTCGACTCCCCAACTTCCCCAGGCTCATCTTCTAGCACCCCCAGTCCAGTGTCCCAACGCTCTGTCTCCCCAGAGCCTGTTCCTCAGTCTCCGGTCCCCCCACCCAAGCCCTCTGGGTCACCTAGAACACCTCTGCCCCTGCTCCCTGCGGCCCAGGGCATGGCCCAGGATGGCTCCACCTTGGCCCCGGGCACTGGCACTGTGCGGAGGCTGGCTGGCAAATTTGAGTGTGGAGCTGAAGGCAGGGCCCAGGCTGCTGATGCCCTGGAGCTGGGCCCCCAAAGTGGAGTGGATGTGAATGGGGAGAGAGAGGCTCCCCAAGGCATCCTCACTGGGAGTGGGTCCCAGGAGAACGGCCCTGTGGGTAAGTGCATGGCGGGGCTGGGGTGGTCCCAATCCAGCTCATCTTCTTTATTTTCAGTGCTTTAAGAGGGGGCACTTTCAGAGAAAATCTGGTTTCAGTATCTCTGAGGGTTTGAAGGGAGTCAGGGTTGGAGAGATAGATGCTTGGAGCTGAACCTCGGTGCTCCTGTGGCTGGATGGTTGAGGTTGGGCAGGGTGGGGCTGGGCCCCAAAGACTTTCTCTTTAGGACATCCCTGTGTCCCACAGATGCTGCCCTGGCCTGTCCTCCTGGCTGCCCCTGTGTCTGTCATGTAGCCCGGCCTGGTCTGGAGCTCCGATGGGTGCCTGTGCGAGGCTGTGAGGACGGCCCCCGGGTCCCCTGCCGGGCCTCCCCACTGCGGACCTCCCGCTCCCGCCCCAACCCTCCACACAGCAGTCACCCCCCAGTTGTCCTCACGTCCTACCGCTCCACTGCTGAGCGCAAACTCCTGCCACCCCTCAAGCCCCCCAAACCAGCTCGGGTCAGACAGAATGCCACCATCCCTGGGGATCCCCCACAGCCAGATCTCGATCTGCCCTCCCAAGATGGAATCCAAACAGGTGCAGGGCCTGGGGGTGGACCTCTGGGCTGTGAAGGGAAGGGGTGGATGGAGGTGGGGCCTTCTAAAAATCTAGGAACTACAACCCCCAACAGGCCTTGGGCTTTTTACTCTTTCATCAGTGGCTTCTCGGGGCTGACAGGAGTTGTAGTTGTTATAGTAATAGTCTCTGCTGTGGCTGAGCCAGGAGTCCTGGGCTGGGGATCCTAGAGGTTTGCTCTCTTCACTCTGGGTTCTCTCTCCAGGGGACAGTCCTGATGAAGCTCCTTGCAACATTCCTCCAGCAAACATGGAGGGCAGGTACCAAACACCCCACCCTTACTCCCTCCCACTCCCATGCTCTTACCTGAGGGCAGACTAACCTACAAGTCTAGTTAAATCCCACTTTCACAAGGTGGAGTGAAGAAGGGTTGGGACTCTGGAAATAAGTAACCCTGGTTTCTGGTCCCAGTTCTGTCCCTTATTAGTTCTGCGACTTTATAATCCACCTTGCTGAGTCTCAGGGTCCTCATCTATAAAATACCTACGAAATGCCAGCTACTCCATAGAGTTGTTGGGATATGATATTGGTAAAGAGCTGGACTCTGTTTCAGTTCCTTTCCCCCTCATAATTATTGCCCACAAATCCATCGGCAGTCATGAACATCTCTTCTATGTTATCTGGACTTATTGTCTTAGATTCATCATCTTTATCAGAGTTAATCTTGGTCCATTCATTTATTCAACAAACATTTACTGGTGTTGTGGGAGATCATTCATTCATTCAACAAACATTTACTGGCTTGGAGGAGTGGGTGTGTGATGGTGCTGATGACCAGAACAGGGGACACAGAGAGCTGCAGGTGGTGGTGGGAGGTGTAAGAGTTTGGGTTTGATCATGTCGACTTTCATCGAGGCACAGACAGGACATTGTAGACGACAGTGGCTACAAAGAGAGGGCTAGAGGCAGGGACTTGGAAGTCCCTGGTACACAACAGTGGAGATAACAGGGCTGGGTGGGCCCCACTTAGGTCAGGACCTCCCCTGCAGCAGGCACACAAAAAAATCTGGGGTTCGATGTGGGGAGCCGTCAGGGCCCTGCCATACACCTGTGCAGGCCGGGCACTCCCTTACACCATGGCGTGCATAGCACCCCCTGGAGGTGTGCAGCAGCTGCGGCTCTGGGTCTCCCATCCCTTTTTCTCTCCACAGGGACCAGGAGGGTCTGGAGGGGCTGAAGGAGCAGAACTGGGAGCTGCCCCTGCAGCATGGTGAGGCCTCTCACATCGCAGGTCCCTGTTGTGACCATCAAGTAGCGGGGAGGGGGTCTGGGGCACTGGACCTCTCTGATGTGTACCTCTGCTTTCCAGAACCCCTGTACCAGACCTATCGAGCGGCTGTGCTCTCAGAGGAGCTCTGGGGGGTTGGCGAGGATGGGGGTCCCTCACCAGCGAATCCTGGAGACGCTTCCACTTTAGCACGGCCTCCTGGACCTCGAAACACGCTGTGGCAGGAGCTTCCAGCTGTTCGGGCCAGCGGCCTCCTCGAGACCCTCAGCCCCCAGGAGAGGCGCATGCAGGAGGTGGGTGCACCTGGGGTTGGGATCGGCCAGACCCAGTGTAGGGGAAGAGCGTGGCCTAAGTCCTGGGCTGGCCACGAGCTGGGCTTTCCCCTACTGCCCTGCCCTTCCTCAGAGCCTATTTGAGGTGGTGACGTCTGAGGCCTCCTACCTGCGCTCTCTGCGGCTGCTGACTGACACCTTTGTGCTCAGCCAGGCACTCCGGGACACGCTCACCCCCCGGGATCACCACACCCTCTTCTCCAATGTGCAGCGAGTGCAGGGAGTCAGCGAGCGGTCAGTGGGGCCCCTGCCCTTCCAGGAGACTAGGGTCTGGACCTTAGTACTCTCCTGGCTTTCTCCCGTTGCTGGTCGTACTCTTCCGCGGGCCCAGATAGTTCCCAGCTATTCCCTGGAGAACCTGGGAGGCCTGGCTCCCTGTCCCCTCCATTGGCTGTTTCCCACACGCCTCCAGGTTTCTAGGAACGTTGTTGTCCCGCGTGCGCTCTTCTCCTCACATCGGTGACCTGTGTGATGTGGTGCATGCCCATGCCGTGGGTCCTTTCTCAGTGTACGTGGATTATGTGCGGAACCAGCAGTATCAGGAGGAGACCTACAGCCGCCTCATGTAAGAACTTCTCAGACGTCTGGGCATGGGGAGGAAGCTGGCCGGGGAGCCAGCTCAGGGGCTGGGGGGGGGGCGCCTTGAGGCAGACGCTAGCCACCTGGGCTGACTTCTGCAGGGACACGAACATGCGCTTCTCCGCGGAGTTACGGCGGCTGCAGAGCCTCCCCAAGTGTGAGCGACTCCCGCTGCCGTCCTTCCTGCTGCTGCCCTTTCAGCGCATCACCCGGCTCCGCATGTTGCTGCAGGTACCCGTCCTGGCTTGGGGACCTTCCTGCCCCACCAGCCTAGTTGGAGAACTCTACCCAGGGACCTCTTGCCTGGCCATCACCATTTCCCACCATCAACACCACCAGTTGCCTTTGAGTCAACTCTGACTCATGGCAACCCATGTATGTCAGAGTAGAACTGTGCGCCATAGGGTTTTCAAAGGCTGGTTTTTCAGAAGTAGATTGCCAGGCCTTTGTTCGGAGGCGTCTCTGGGTGGACTTGAACCTCCAGCCTTTCTCTTAGCAATTGAATGCGTTAACCATTTGCACCACCCAGGGACTCCACATAACACAGAAGTCCCTAAATCACAACTCCTACTCTGGGCCTCTCAGTCCAGAACCCACCGGCTCCTACCTGGAGCTCCCCAAATGCCCCAAGGGCCAGTATGGGTGAAGGAAGAGAGCCTCTGGTGAGAGACATGAGCACTAGGTGTAGCTCTGCCACTAACTGGCTGAGACCTTGAGCAAGTCCCTTCCCCTCTCTAGGTCTCAGGGGATTGTGGTGGGTGGTCTTCCAGGTCTCCTCCAGCTGTATTATTCTACTGCATGCATCCTCAGGGGGAGTAGTATCGCCCCCAAGGAGCACGTTCTTGTGGGGGAAGGGGACTGAAGTGTGGAATCTTAGATATTTCAGTGGTTGTGGCCCTCCAAAGGGCCATAGGACATAAACAGATTTACAGTTATATCTGTGGTATTAAAATTTCATGGTAGGAGGTGATTAAGAAAAGAGTGTCTTAAAAAACGCCAAGCCAGTTGCTGTCGAGTTGACTCCAACTCATGCGCCCACGTGGATATCAGAGTAGAAAAGTGCTCCATAGGGTTTTCAGTGGCTGATTTTTTGGAAGCCTATCACAAGGCCTTTCTTCTGAGGTGCATCGGGGTGGACTCGAATTTCCAATGTTTAGGTTAGCAGCTGATTTCGGTTAGCAGGTGAGCACATTAACCATTTGCACCACCTAGGGACTCCAAAAAGTCTCCTGAAGGGGTGATTATGAAGAAAAGGCTGAAAAACACTCTTCTATTGCAAGCTAGAGACTCCGCCCACCCCCAAACCAGGACACTTTAATGTAGTGGGAATCTTAGTGTCAAGAGTCCACAACTAGATAATCATCTTCTCAATGGCTTATTCAGCTTTCTACATACTCAGTGTAGACAACACAATAATAATGATAATAATCCTAACAGCTAGATGTCTATTGAGTGCCCTATTCCAGGCACTGTTCTAAGTGCTATGTACCCATTTAGCCTTACCAACAACTGTATGAGGGGAGGAACTATTATTAACCCCATTTTATAGATGAGGAAACTGAGGCACAGAGAGCTTAAATAACTTGCCCCAGGTCATACAGATAATAACTGATGGAGACAAAACTCAAATCCACTCTTAACCACTCTGCTATATTGTTTGCAATAATTGTTGTGGTTAATAATTATTAATATAAAATAATTGCTACCCTCTTTTCGGCATTTACTATGTGCCACAGACTATGCTAAGTACTTTACATACATTACCTTGCTGAAAATCCTCACAACAATGCTGTGAGGTAGGTATTATCCCCATTTTACAGATGGAGAAACTGAGGCTCAGAGAGGTAACATGACTTGCTCAGAGTTATGCACGTGGTGAGTGGTGGGTCTCTCAGCCTTGTTGAAGGATTTCTCCACCAGCACTACGATCTCCAAACTGAGCATTTCTCCAAGCCAGCCAAGGTCCTCTGAGCTGTGGCCCCTCTGAATCCTGGGGCCGCAGAGCAGGGGGTCCAGTCACCCTTTCTCCTTGTCCCCAGAATATCCTGCACCAAACAGAGGAGGGGTCCAGCCGCCAGGATAATGCCCAGAAGGCCCTGAGTGCCGTCAGCAAGGTGGGTAGGAGGGATGCTGAGGTCGGGAGAGGTGACAAGGCTGTAGGGAGAGATGGAAGGGGTGGCGCGGAGTAGGGGCTGTCCTTTGGGGTGGGTGACCCGGCTCCCCTTACCCAGATCATTGAGCGTTGCAGCGCTGAGGTGGGGCGCATGAAGCAGACTGAGGAGCTGATCCGGCTCACCCAAAGGCTGCGCTTTCATAAAGTCAAGGTTCGTTCCTGCCCGGACTCCGTCCCCACTGTCCCTTTCCCCAGAATGCTTTGAGGCCACCTCCTCCAGAAAACTCCTGCTTCCTCGCAGGCCCTGCCCTTGGTCTCCTGGTCGAGGCGCCTGGAGCTGCAGGGGGAGCTGACAGAGCTGGGGTGCCGGAGGGGTGGCGTGCTCTTCCCTTCGCGCCCCCGCTTCACCCCCCTCTGCCTGCTGCTCTTCAGTGACCTGCTGCTCATCACTCAGCCCAAGAGGTGGCTCCCGGGGGGGGGGGGCAAGGCGGGGTGGTGGAGGATGGGTCCAGGTGAACCCCTGCTCTCACACTGAACCTCCTCTTTCCTGGGCAGCGGGCAGCGGCTGCAGGTTCTGGACTATGCCCATCGCTCCCTGGTCCAAGCCCAGCAGGTTCCGGACCCATCTGGACCCCCTACGTTCCGCCTCTCCCTTCTCAGCAACCACCAGGGCCGCCCCACCCACCGGCTACTCCAAGCTTCGTCCCTGTGAGTTGTATCTCCTTCAGAAAACACTCTGGGGACCCTCCCCTGACCTCTCAGACCCCACCAACCTCCTCCCCAGTCTCTCCTCTGTGACCCCTGCCTAACCCCTGGGTCCAACTGTGACCCCTCTCTATACCCCCACCAGATCAGACATGCAGCGTTGGCTGGGAGCCTTCCCTACCCCAGGCCCCCTTCCCTGCTCCCCAGACACCATCTATGAGGACTGTGGTGAGTCCCCAGAGGCGAGGAGGGAAGGAAAACTGAGTCTTAAGGGAAATATAGGGGAGGAGCTAAAAAGAGTTTTGAGTCCACTGTAATGTCATCCACCCCCAACCAGAATGTTCCCAGGAACTGTGTTCAGAGCCTTCTACACCTTCCAAGACTGAGGGACAGAGTCTGGTGTCCAGGAATCCCCCCAAGCACCTGCATAAGAGCCCTGAAGGTGGGAGATTGTTACTTATTCATTCAGTAAATACTAAGCAGCTACTAGGTGCTGATCACTGTTGTAGGCAATCCCCATGAGCCCAACGCATTGATTCTAGCAGAGGAGGCAGACAAGAAAGAATAAGCAAAATGTGTAAGAAAATCATATAGTGCATTAGAAGGTGACAAGTGCTATGGGAAGACCAAAGTGGAGCAGAGTAAAGGAGGACAGGAGTACAGGGTTGGGTATGGTTACAATTTTAAGTAGGAAGGTTGAGGTGGACCTCACTGAGAAGGCAACATGAGCCATGGCTTGATGGAGGTGAGGAATTTAGCCACATGGGTATCTGGGGGAAAAGTGTCCCACTCAGAAGCAACAGTCAATGCAAAGGCCCTGAGGCTGGGGGAGTTTGAGGCTCAGCGAGGAGACCAGTGTGGCTGAGGGGAGCGAGGAAAGGGGAAAGAAGCAGGAGATGAGATCGTAGAGGTAACAGGGCTCAGATTATGTGGGGTCTTTGTAGGTGGTTGTAAGGATTTGGGCACAGGCTCTGAGTGAGATGAGCGGTGATGGCAGGGTTTGACACAGGTGACTCCAACCCCTCTCTGCTGTTGCTGTCACCTCCACCTCCAGTACCCTTTCTACTAATGCACCAGGCTTCTCTACTAATTCCCATGTCCACCATGACCCTCAAGGCCTTAGACCCTCACAAGGGCCTCTGCCTCCTCACTTGACCTTCTCTACCCTTCTTGGGCCTCTTCTCTCTTTCCCCAGGCTGGTTGAAGGGGGTCCCTGGGGCCTTCCCTGCCCAGTTGGTGTGTGAAGTCACAGGGGAACATGAACGGAGGAAGCACCTTCGCCAGCACCAGAGGCTTCTTGAGGCTGTTGGGTCCTCTTCAGGCACCTCCAGTGCCCCCCCCACCCTAATACGGGCTGGAGAGGGGGCACCAATTGGGACATCTGGCAGCATGGCCCATGGGCACAGAGTTGGCTAAAATCCTCAGCCAGAGAGGACAAAGCCCACCCATCCATGGATTCACTGTCAGTGAAAACACTACCTCGAGTGGCAGTCAGCAGAGACCAAGCTTGGGACAGGGCAGCCAATGGAAACAGGGCCACCTGAGCCTACAGCGATGAGAAAGGATGAGGATGGCTTGAATGTGTTGCTAATGGAGGCAGAGGCTTAGTAAAAACCTGTTGCCATTGAGTTGACCCTGACTCATGGGGATTCCGTATGTGTCAGAGTAGAACTGTGCTCCATTGGGTTTTCAACAGCTGGTTTTTGGAAGTAGATCACCAGGCTTTTCTTCTGAGGAGCCTCTGGGTGGACTCAAACCCCCAGCCTTTTGGTTATCTGCCAGTGTGTTAACTGTTTGCACCACCCAGGGACTCCAGCAGCTTACCTGTTGTGAATCTATTCCAACTCATGATGACTTCATGTGTGCAGAGTAGAGCTGCTCCCTAGGGTTTTCATGGCTGTGACCTTTCGGAAGCAGATTCCCAGCCTGTCTTCTGAGGTACCTCTGGGTGGGTTCAAACCACCAACCTTGCAGCTAGTAATCGAGTGCTTAACTGTTTGCACCACCTAAGGACACCTCGAGGCTTAGTGCAGAGCAGTTAATGGGCGCTGAGTTGGCTGAGCCCCTGGTCAATGAGTATCCCTGCTATGCTTACAGCCAAGGTATTGACCAAGCTAGCTTACAGCCAAGGTATTGACCAAGCTAGGTCAATTAATGCAGTTTAAAAAGGGACACATTGGAGATAAAGTCCTAGGGTAAAATAGCCAATAGCGATGAGCTGGGACCCATCCAGCCAAAGAAGATGGTGGTCTGGGTCCCAGAGACCAGTGGTGACCCTACTTGGTTATACAGTAATGATTTGGGTCCTGCCCTTTAAGACAGGGAAGTATTAGAGTCTATTCCCAGGGTGCCTCTTGTGCCCTCTCAATCCGCATCCCCTTTTGTAGGAAATTCCAGAGTGTGTGTTTCAGAGAATGTGTGTGTGTGTATGTGTGCGTGTGCATATGTGTGTGGAGGAAGGTGAATCTGTTGACTATAGTGTGTGTGTGGTGGTTGCCTCCTATCCCTGACCACTGAGTGCTCCGTTTCTTCCTTTACTCCCATTTTCCCTATTATTCTCTCCAAAAAAGATACTTGGTCTGCGCTCCAAAGGCGAGTGTGCTGGGTGCAGCTAGAGGCCAGAGCTAGAGACGAGAGCCTTGGGTACTGGATCTCTTGGAGGCCAAGGTTCCATGACAGTAGGAGGGTGATGTTATGGAGCAGCCAAGCAGCCTGGCAGAGGAGCTCGAGGGACTGAGGACGGCCAGTAGCTGGAGCCTGAGGCCCCCTGAAGTTGCAGGTCCTTCTCCCACAGCCTGGCCTCCAGGACCCCTGCCAACAGATCCCCCAACCTGAACTACAACCAGTCAGCCAGTCTCCCCCTCAGCCTTCAGATCTGCTGTGGGTCCCAGGCTTGGGTGAAGAAACGGCAGCTGTGGATCACAGGCCGGCTGGTGAACTTGCTGGGCTTTCTTGCCTGCACCTTGGTGCTCTCACAGAAACACTGGGCTAAGCTGTGGGGCAAGTACAGAGAGCTGGTGTTGCTGCCCAGCTCCATCCAGCGCATCTGCTTCCAGATGAGAAAATGCCCCCGCACGATGCCAGAAGGAGATGAAGGACAGAGACAGAGTGGAGTGGACAGTTGTTGGCGGGTGTGGGCCTAGGCCTGGGACAAAGCCATCCATGGGCTAAGGCATACACATCGCCCCTCTGCTCATGCTTGGCAACTTGCCTAGGACAGAAACTTCTGTACTGACCACAGGAGGTGCAGGGACTCTGGGAGTCTCAGAGGGAGAAGGACACAGACATTTGGCATGTCTGTGACTCTGGGGACTCACCTAGCACAGTGCCTGGCATACAGGAAACCCTCAATAAATGTTGGTGAATTATACTGAGGTTCTTCAAGGGAGTGTATTCTTCAAGGGGCAGTGGTCTCCAGTGGTTTTATAAGGGGGATGGGGCTGGATGGAAAGGGATACTTCAAGAGCAGAGGTCAGTACTGCTGGTAACCTGGGCTCAGAGACCAGGCCCAAGGCCTGACTGTGTTGGCCCACCCATAGCTCCTGAGGGAGCTAAGATGGGGGAAGGAGGGATATAGCTGATGGGCTTCTTTAGGCTGGGACAGAAGACTGGGCAGGGTCAGGCATGGCTGGGACTCCAGCCCGGGATGGAAAATGCAGCAAGAAGGACCAAAAAAGCAGTCAACAATAAACGTCCTTTATGGACCAGCCATGTATCTCTGTGTTTAGTTCAAGTCAGCACCTACTTATTGAGTGCCTTCGATGTACCAGGTACTGTTGCAGGTGCTGGGGATACAGAGATGAAAAGGTCAAGGGTCTTGCCCTCCAAAAGCTTACGTTCTCGCTGAGGGAGACATTACCAAGTAATCACATTAATAAGTAAGATAAAGCCAGATAGTGGCGATCAGTAAGAAAACACAGCCCTGGCTGTGACAGAGAATGTCACGGGGGTGGGGTGAGGTGGGGGGCAGCTTTAGACTAGGTGGTGCCCTGAGTGTGTTTGTGCAGGGCAAACAGTCCTGAGGGGGGTGAGCTGCAGTCTGGAAGTTCTGTCAAGGAGGGCTGAGGGGCATGAAGCACAGCTACAATGAGAAAGGGGCAGTGTCGGGGGACGGGGAACATGGTGCATAAGGAAGACACAGGAAGGGGAACGATGGGCGGGTACAGGTGGTACAGAGGGCAGTAGGTAATTTGGCTCATCCTGAATTCTCTCCTGCCTCTCCCAGGCATCGACCTGTTTCCATGTATGACCTTCTGCTGGTGCTCATCATCCTCTCATCCTCTGTTGCTCCACGCACTTCTTGCCTCTCTGGGCTGCCTTCTCCAAGTTCCTCATAGGTGTAGTAGGAGAGATCATGGGAGAAGCCTCTCAGTGGTGACTGTCTGAAGTTGCAGGCATAGGGGTGAGGGTAGGGGTTGGTACAAACGTCCCAGGTGGTATAGAGAGGTTCTCTTACCCACTTAGGAGTCCTTGAGCTGCAGCTAACCCACTCCTTCAATTTCTATCACTCTGGGGAAGTGGAAGAAACATTTCACAGGCTTAGGAAAGCTGCAGGTGTGTGTGCGTGTGAGGGGGTGCCTGAGGCGACTGGGTGGGGAAGCTAGGCCTCTGCTGTGAGTTTTTTCTTTCTTGTTTGCTTGCTTGCCTGCCATCCTCCTTCCTTCGTTCCTCCTCCTTCCTTTCTCTCTCTGAGTCGGTCCAACCACAGCTCTGCTCCTCATATTTGTGGTCTCCATATTCAGGGAGTCGATGATAATGCAGATAGGGCAATGACCTCTCTGGGCTCTGGCCCTTCTATGGGCTCTGGGTCAACGTCGTCGTGGCCATTATTACCAGTGAGCTAGGAGGCTTTACAATCATGACCACAAACACCAGGCGGATAAAAGAAGGCTCCTCCTCCCCGCAGCCTGCTCCCTAGCTCTCTCCCCTTTCCCACCTCCAAGAGCCTCTCGAACCCACTTTCCTCCGCTTCTTCCCAGAGCCCCTCGGCCCGGCCCAGCTCGCCTAGAGGAGACAGGCTTTGTCTCCATCCCTGAAAGCTGCCGGTACCTGTCCTCCAGGCTGGCCAGCACCCCAGCCAGGCGCACCCTCCCCGTCCTTTTCTCCGACGGCTCCGTCACTAGCCAGGCGGACTCCCACAAGCGGCCCCCACCCTCGCCTTCCTAGTACGCCCTTTCCAAACTACGAGAGTGCCTCGAGCAAGATCAAGGGAAGCGAACTAACTTCCGTTTCACCCATCCCGGACGCTCCGCGTCCTCCGCTAACAGGCTAGACCCCACCCTCGCTCCGCCCCCGGCGTGGCTCCGCCCAGTCGCCCTCGCGCGCTTTCGGCCGTCAACAGGAGACGCGCTCCTGGGGGCACCGCAGCACCAGCTTCCTGCTTCAGGGGTTTAGCACGTCTTCCGGCTGCGGTGAGCTCAGTCTCCTGGTTCTCAATGCTCGCCTTCCTCGCGAGGCACGGTCGGGGGGTGACCCGACCCCAAGAAGAATTCTTAAGTTGAGGTGCTGGCTGTCTCCCTTGGCGCCGGTGAATGCTGGGTGACCCCCTCCCCCACTAACCCTCCTTTCTGATTGACCTGCCGAACCTTCGTGGTTGTCCCGGCTTCCCGAAGTCCAGGGGCCGGCATTTAGCTGGTTGAGCCGACTCGGATCGACTTCGGGCCGACTCGGTCACCTCCGCGCCCAGCTCACGAGCACAGGCGTCAGGGTTGACTTTTCCCAGCGGTCCCTGACGCACATTTGCCACCGGACACCCTGCCTCGGGGCTTCTCAGACTGCTCCACATCCGACCCATTGAGCCCTGTCGCACTTCTCCCTCTCTCCAATTTCCTGTTTTCTTCTTCCCAATAATCTACGTTTCCCGCCCACTCTCCAACCCCTGGAATCACCTCCCCTTCGCTTCCGAAACTTTTCCCCACCACGTCCACCTTCAGAAATCTGAAACTGCTTGCTATAGGAAGGGGTTGGGGTTGAATCAAGATTTTTAAGAAAAAATACAAAATACGAATAAAAAATTTAGTATGAGAGTGAGTTTTTATTTAGAATGAGTAAAGAAGTAATGAATTACTCATTTGAACAATTGACAAATACAAAGAATATTACTAAAAAAAAAAAAACCCAGAAAAATAAGAATTTTAGGAGTTTATTGACACATCTCTAATATTTTTTTTCTGTGATCTTTGGTCAGTTGTCATTTTCTCTTCATATGACATCAATTTTATGATATACTTTTCCACAGAGAGGATAATTCAGCTCTTTTCTCTAGCACGATTGATTGAAATGCATTTATTATTATTATTTTATTGTAAAAAATATATGTAACACGACATATGCCAGTTTTTTTCGGTGTACAGTTTAATGATATTAATTACATTAATCATGTTGTTCCCCACGTGTGTGTCAGTTTGTCATACTGTGGGGGCTTGCGTGTTGCTGTGATGGTGGAAGCTATGCCACCACTGCTCAAGATACCAGCAGGGTCACCCATGGTGGACAGGTTTCAGCTGACCTTCCAGACTAAGACAGACTAGGAAGAAGGGCCTGGCAGTCTACTTCTGAAAAGAATTAGCCAGTGAAAACCTTATGAAATAGCAGCGGAACATTGTCTGATATAGTTCCGGAAGATGAACCCCCCCAAGTTGGAAGGCACTCAAAAGACGACTGGGGAAGAGCTGCCTCCTCAAAGTAGAGTTGACCTTAATGACGTGGATGGAGTCAAGCTTTCGGGGCCTTCATTTGCTGATGAGACACGACTCAAATTGAGAAGAAACAGCTGCAAACATCCATTGATAATCGGAACGTGGAATGTATGAAGGAAAATTGGAAACTGTAAAAAATGAAATGGAATGCATAAACATCGATATCTTAGGCATTAGTGAGCTGAAGTGGACTGGTATTGGCCATTTTGAATCAGACAATCATATGGTCTACTATGCCAGGAATGACAACTTGAAGAGGAATGGCATTGCATTCATTGTCAGAAAGAACATTTCAAGATCTAAAGTACAAGGCTGTCAGTGATAGGATAATATCCATACGCCTACAAGGATGACCAGTTAATACAACTATTATTCAAGTTTACACGACAACCACTAAGGTGAAAGATGAAGAAATTGAAGATTTTTACCAGCTTCTGCAGTCTGAAATTGAGTGAACATGCAATCAGGATGCATTGATAATTACTGGTAGTTGGAATGCAAAAGTTGGAAACAAAGAAGGAGCGGTGGTGGGAAAATATGGCCTTGGTGATAGAAATGATGCTGGAGATCGCATGATAGAATTTTGCAAGACCAACGACTTCTTCCTTGCAAATACCTTTTTTCACCAACGTAAACGGCGACTATACACATGGACCTTACCAGATGGAATATACAGGAATCAAATCGACTACATCTATGGAAAGAGATGATGGAAAAGCTCAGTATCATCAGTCAGAACAAGGCCAGGGGCCAACCGTGGAATAGACCATCAATTGCTCACATGCAAGTTCAAGTTGAAACTGAGGAAAATTAGAACAGTTCCACAAGAGCCAAAGTATGACGTTGAATTTAGAGACCATCTCAAGAATAGATTTGCTGCATTGAACTCTACTGACCGAAGACCAGATGAGTTGTGGAATGACATCAAGGACATCATACATGAAGAAAGCAAGAGGTCATTAAAAAGACAGGAAAGAAAGAAAAGACCAAAATGGGTGTCTGAAGAGACTCTGAAACTTGCTCTTGAACGTCGAGTAGCTAAAGCAAAAGGAAGAAATGATGAAGTAAAAGAACTGAACAAGATTTCAAAGGGCAGCTTGAGAAGACAAAGTATTATAATGACATGTGCAAAGAGCTGGAGACAGAAGACCAAAAGGGAAGAATATGCTCAGCGTTTCTCAAGCCGAAAGAACTGAAGAAAAAATTCAAGCCTCAAGTTGCAATAGTGAACAACGCAAGAAGCATCAAAAGAAGTTGGAAGGAATACACAGAGTCATTATACCAAAAAGAACTGATCGACGTTCAACCATTGCAAGAGGTAGCATGTGATCAGGAACCGATGGTACTGAAGGAAGAAGTTGTAGCTACACTGAAGGCATTGGCGAAAAATAAGGCTCCAGGAATTGATGAAAATATCAACTGAGGTGTTTCAACAAACGGATGCA